CTTCAGCTCCGTGGAGAAGGGTCCGTCTCCTCCACGGAGCCCCTTCAGGGTGATGTTGATGGGTGCTGTCTTAACCTGCTGCATCTCTCCTGCTCCCCATCTCTCCTGTCCATCCTCGGCCCCAGTCCTGCCAAAGCTGTTTGAGCGCTGGACTGGGGAGTGGATAAAGCCAAAAAAGACTGTTTTCCTCATCCAGCCGTGCAGACCGAGCTTTGGGATGGGCACGCTGGATGCAAAAGGGTAAACTGCGCCTGTGGTTCCAGCACAGCAAGGTTTGCAGTCTGGTCCTGGGAGAGCTGCCTGTAAATGATTTTTAACAGTTTCTCGTGCTCTGTGCTAAAAGCAACATCGCGCTGTTGCTGCTTTCAACACCTCAGTTTGTGCCTGACTTTGACTCTTCAGGAGTATGTACTCAGGACTCTATTTTTAGGCAGACTTTAGTAACAGCTGGTTCCTGCTCGTCCTGTGTCTTCCATTTCTGCCTCTTTTACAAAAGCCCTAAAGCAGCTGGTAGCAGTGCGAGGTCTGAGCCGCTTCCTGCCTTGTGCCGCTCGCTTGCAAGCCTCACACTGAGGCTGTTTTTTCTTTCTTTTTTTTTTTTCCCCCCTGTGTAAGATAAAGCCACTGACCCAAGTATCCCTGAGGAAAACTGGGAATGCATCCAGCGGTTCTGTGACCAGGTGAACGCCGACATAGAAGGGTAAGGCAGACAGACGGCTCTTTGTGTTCACTCTGGGCTGTGCGTCTGGCTCTGAGCTTCTCTCATGGCTGCGGGGGGAATGGGACCTGTCAGCCACAGCGTGGGGAGCCTGGAGAGGCAGTGGGAGCGCTCGCTCGGCTCTGCTGCTCCCGAGAGTGCCTGTACAAGAACGGGTAAATAAGCTGCAGAGAGGTGTTTGCCAGCGTGGTGGAGGTTGGTGTCTAGGAACGGGCTCTGACACCCATTGCTGCAACCCACGAGGCAGCAGGTGCTGCCACTGTGCCCTCACCGGCCTCCTGGGAGACTGGCCGGGAATACCTGCTGTGGGGTTCTGCAGGGAAGCCCCGAGTGAGCTCAGCCTCGGCTTTTCCTTTCAGAGAGGTGGGAGATCTCTGCTAGGGCTTCCCCGCCTTCCAGCTGACAGTCTTGGCTCTGGGAAGGAGCAGGAACTAATTAAGCAAATGACCTGTCAAAGCTTGGTGACCATCCCTTTCTTTAGAGCAGATGCCTGTGCGTTCAGAGCCCGCAGTCTGGCACCCGTCCCCCCCGCAGCGTGTGCGCACAGCAGCAGTCAGCAGGCCGGGTCGGGCTGTGAATCAAAGCTCCTGTGACTGCAGAGAGCCAGCGCTATCCCCCTCTCCCAGCTGGCTCCCTCCGAGGGGGCAGCAGTGGGATCGCACAAGCTGCTTCAGTCCACCTCTCGCCCCTTGCGCGTGTGTGCGTACCCCAGGCCAGCGCTCTGGCAGAGGAAGGGTGTCTGACGTAGGAGGTTGTGAATCCGGCAGTTGCTCTTCTCTGCGGGGCAAAATCAGCAGCATTTGTTTTTCTTGGGAACTGGTGTGTTGTCTGACTTGCTTCTGCTACTCCCCAGCCCATCGCTTGCACCGAGGCTGCTCGCACATAAAATACAGTCACCTCAGGAGATGGAAGCTCTCCATGCTCTCACAGTAAGTGCGTTCATCCACATGCAAAGAGAGAGAGGCAGCAGTAACTTGGAAACAGAGTCTGGGGGGTAGAGACAGTGTAGCTGCCTCTTCTTTTTCTCTCAGGTATCTCTCCCTTTTAACTTTCCATTGCATAAGGAATACAGAAACCAGGGTATAATGGAGGGAGTAACTGCTGCTGTTCCTTCCCATGTCATTCCGCTGAGGTGTTTCAGTGGTCTGCAGCTCTTGCTGTTTGGCCTGTGGTCCCACCACAGGGTCAGTGGCCCAAAAGTTATTAGTGATGGGTAGAACAGAGCAGATGGTCTTAAACATGCTGCTTAAGAAGGTTGGATGAAGGAAAAATACACGTTCTTGCTGCACAACTTCCTCAGTATCTTGTATTTGTGAATGCAGTGCCAGAAAGTTCTTAGATTTAGTATTATAATGGCAAAGTTACTTTAAGAATTCCCCAAGACCTGTGTGTACAGTTTCCGTTTGGTACTGTTTTGTTTTCTGCAGGTGCTAGAGACCTGTGTGAATAACTGCGGTGAAAGATTTCACAATGAAATAGCAAAATTCAGGTTTCTGAATGAGCTGATTAAAGTGCTTTCCCCAAAGGTAGGTGGTCGTGGTTATGCTGGACATAGCAGGTAGGACATACTGTTTATTTCATGCTGGATATGAATACTTAGAATTAATCTCACATAGAAGTGGAGCAGAATGATTGTCATATATGAAAGCACAAGGACTAGATGTGAATCCCCCTGTAAAAGATGTAAGCCAGGGGCTCTTTTTGTGAAAAGCTTTTTCCTTGTGGCTTCTCCCAACTCTGCTGGGACAGTCAGAGACTCTGGAGGAGCTTGACGTTGTTCCTGTGACCCCTCAGCCTGTGGCCCTTTTGCCTCTCAGTGATTTACAGAACTCTGGTTGGGGAAGTGGCAGAGGACAGAGATGCCAGGAGCTGCCCAGAGCCTCTCCCGTGTTTTCTTATGCTCTGTCCTCAAACTCTTGTGCTCCGGCTGCTCTCCTTGCTTTCTCCTGGTGAAGATTAGCCTGGGTTTGGGTCCTGTTCATGGGGCAGGATCAGCTTAGGTAGTGGCAGGGGGGACTGGACTTCAGCAGCACTGGTGCAGCACTCGCCCCACCATCGCCTGACAGTTGGGCGTTCATGCAGCCCCTTTGGGGTCCTGCTGAGGGTGTCCTGAAAGCCGGGTAGAGGACTCCCAGCCCCCGGGCAGCGACAGCCCTGAGTCAGGGGGAGGCTGGAAGGGATCAGCTGTAGCTAACATGGAAGCTGCAAAGTCCCTTCCTGCTGCTCTGCTTCCCTGGCTCGCAATATATTCATTCAATATATTCAATCCTGCTCCCTGCTGTGGAGCACTTTGCTTCTGAGTGCAATCGCTGCCTCCTGAGAAGAGAAGCAGCCGTCAGAAATGAGAAGCTTAGCTTGAGGAGCTAAGTGAGCTGTGAGTTCAGAGTGGATGCACTGGGTCCCCTGGCAGCGCCTCTCACGATGAAAAATGGAGACCTGTTTTATCAGAGACTGCGTGATCTTTATGCCTTGCTCCTCTCTGCCTCACATAGCAGGCCTGGGACTTTAAATACCCCTCTCAGCAACTCAGTAATTGATTCTCCTTTTTAGTGGGTCCTGCACACACTTACCGCTTGTACAGGTTTCATTTTCCATCATCGCAATGGCAGAGCTGCAAAAAGCTGATTTCAGAGAAATGTTTAACTGAACAGCAAAACCTCTTCTCTCAGTCCCAGGTTTGGTACGGGTATTTCAGTGAAACAACAAAGTTTAAAGAATGTTATCACTATAGAGAGTTTTGTTTGCTGTTTTGACAAAATAGGTATCGTTTTATAAGTTTAAAATGCCTAGTGTTTTGGAGGTTTGTGTGTGGCTTTTATGACTCTTCCTGATGTTTTTATAATACATTAAAGTGAGTGCTCGTAGGCAATAATGAGAGAAATCAGAGAAAACATCCAGATGCTGAAAAAAGACAGTAACTTTCATTTCTCATTTTGTTCAGTTTTCATTTGTCTGGGTCTGGCTGAGGCCAGTGGCGGTATTTGCATTGCAGGCAGTTAAGGGAAGTATTTAAAGTCAAGCACAGAACTGTTCTCACTGAAATAAAACAACCTACTTTTGGTTTTGGAGTCAATAACTGATCAGAGAAGTTTTGAAATGGTTTAATTTTGATTGTCATATAATATTTATGTAATTATCATATGCTTAATAGCATTCCTTGTATTTACAGCCACAGCTATACACGCTATTTCCTGTACCACAAGATACACAGTTGACAACACTGTGGATAAAGTGTTAGGAATCCATCTGCTACTTGGTCTCTGCACACAGATGACTCGGGGCTAGACCCATATGCCATATCTGGCACTAATTCTTTGGTTTCAGTCTTTTTTGCCTTACTTTACTTTTTTGTTTTGTTTTGTTTTCAGTACTATGGTCAGTGGTCTTCAGAAAAAGTCAAGTCAAGAGTCACAGAAGTAATGTTCAGTTGGACAGTCTGGTTTCCTCAGGAAGTTAAAATCCGGGATGCTTATCAGATGCTGAAGAAACAAGGTTTAGTTCTGTTATTTCAGTTTCCTTTTTAGCCTTCCAAGTCACATGGTTTCAGACCACAGATATCTGTCCTCTTTAATTTGTGACTCAGCTTTTTTCGTAAAATGTTGTGTGTAAGGGAAAAAAGGACAAAGGCCACACTTACAAGGCTGTTTGTGTACGTAAGGATGCATGTAACTGTTTAAAGAGATTTACCAAATAACAGCCTTATTGAGTCAAAGATCAGGCTAGCCCTGTGGCCTCTGTTCACACAACGCTCACCACTGTTGTGCAGGGAGGAGGTACAGGACAAACTCAGAGTGATCTTTGCCCTGGAATACTCTCCCAGGATTATGAG